ATACTCGTGGAGACAGACGACAGCTATACCATTGCACGTTAAAATTTCATATGTGTATATATGTTTATTATACATATTAGAAGAGAAGCATAGGTGTATCTACGGTACAGGACTCTCTACTCGGTCGACCTCGTTGGTAGCACACAGCATATATATATATATGGATATGTTATATGTATATGTTATATGCTATGTGCCTTTTAACCGTATTCGGTAAATATATATTTTATAGCTCATGCGCATGTTATTTATATAACGCGTTTGTCTATATATTTTCGTGTATGTAAAGAGTTTGTCTCGCACGCGCGGCTGCTCTCGCTCTCACTCTCTCAATCTTACTTTTGCATCACACACGCAAGTCAACGTACAATATGTCACGGTCGAGACCTTTCTTTCGTACGCTTCGAGACCTCGGATACCACGAGCTGAGAAAAAGCTGCAGGACTTTGCTTTTGTTGTAGAACATTATCGAAAATTCTTATCCGAAAATATATTTATGATACGTAATAATACTGCCGGAAAAAATTAACTTGATTCGAAAATTTTTAAGGGTTGTAGATAATTTAAATTTATTTAAAAAATAAATAAATTAGCACCTGCATTAAAACATTTTTAATTTTGTAATTTGGATAAATTGAATTAAGAATAATTTTTTAATTTTATAAAAAGGATTAGAAAGTAGAAAAAAATTTGGATCCTAATTATCTCTTTTAATTCTTGATTCAAAATTTTTTGAATTAGAAAATTTGAAATTTTTTAAATATAAAAATTTATGAAGCATGCAAATTTTTTCGACTCAAATAAATTTTACTTGATTGAAAATTTTTTTTCTTGAATTAATTTTTTGATGAATGTTAAATTCGAAAAAATGCTAATTTTTGAAAATTTGTAAATAATTTTGAATAATTGTAAAAAAATTTTCAAAATTAAAAAAAATTGTCGAGCTTCTCTCATAATCGTTCTCTTATATTAATAATTTTTTTACTTTTGTATACCCTTAATATCGTACCCATAATTTTGATTCAATAAAATTAAGTAATGAGACAACTTAAACAAAAATGTATAGAATTATAAAATTAATTTTAATTAAATTTAATACCGTACTATTAGATGTGAAAAGATAAAGATGTGTTTATCGTAATTCTGGGTGTGTTCGCTAACGAGGATAGGTATAAGTGTATGTGTAAGTTGGAGTTTAGGATCGGTTTAAAATAACGCGATATTATCCAGTCCAGGGTGCTGAGTGAGGATAGGAGCATCGCGAGGATAATGTAACGGTGCTGCATGGTATGGAGAACGTTAACGCCGGGTTAGGTTATAAGTATTATATTGGATAGAGGATAGGAATGCCCAGTGTGTTCTTTCGAGGACCGTACAGTAACTTGTATCGCGGGAGTATGAGATAAGAATCGCAAGGGCAGAAGAGGAGAAAGTTAGAGGATAAGATTAGTGGTAAGAATCCCGAGGACCGTGCGTGGACCAATCCAATGAGTTTGACAAAAAAAGTATTTTAAATTAATGAGACTACAGGTCGTTAGCAAACTCATGCAACTTTACCGGTTAGGTACTGAGTTCTGGGTTTGCCGTAAAGAGGCTAGGATTTAAGACAAGAGTTAGGACTAGATTGTTGCTTCACTGAGGAATTTTTTAAAAGGCTGGATTTTTTATTTTATGTATAATAAGTTAACTTAAGCACTCAGTTCTTAGAACAGTTAACGGTTTTATGTCCAGTGTGGTGAGAAAATTACGACCAAGTTACTTTTTAAAAGTACGGAGAAATTTAAATTGCTCATTAGTAAAAATTTAATTTCTGGGTCAAATATTGAAGAAAAAAAATTATCCATTATAATTTTTATAAGAAATTCAACTTTCAACAAAAAAAAGTATCATTTAATTTTATTGTATTTTGCATCTTTAAGCCAAAATTAAATTTTTTTTTTTTTTTTGAGCTAATTTACTAGAAATTGAAATTTTGGGTCAAATATTGAAGATACGAAAAAATTGTAAGAGATGTTTTTTCAAGGAAATTTAATTTAATACAGAAAAAATTTCCTTTAATCTTACCCTATCTCGCATCTATTCAGTCAGAATTTTAATTTGTTGTTTGAAAAAAAATTTGACAGTTGAAAATTTGAACCTTTTTTCCAAAAATTGTTTCCAATGTATGTACATACGATGGAAATAATTTCGAACGACGCCATTTTATGGTGAAAAGGGTGGAGAATAACGGTCCTGCCTACAAAAATATATAAAGGCTGAACTACCCCCCAATGTTTATAAAGAAAACAAAAAAAAAAGGTATCCGTGTGTATATATATTGATATTTGTGTGAATAAAAGAGATGGAAAAATTTCCAGCTGTTGATCGTTATCTCTGCATCGAATCGAACATGGCGAGCACACACACAACAAAACAGGGGCTGCGTTTCAACCCTTGCTATCTTCGGCATCAAGGGGTGGATATTCGGCTCGTCCGCCATACAGGTAAAAAAAAAAAAAAAGAAATAAAATAATAACTATATTTTCAGTCTAAAGTGAAAACCCAGTCTGACGCGATCATTATTATTATTATTATTAATATATTTAATATAGTTTTTTGATGTGTTGTGTACTCGGCATGTGCAGCCAAACGTGCAATGAAAAGTGAGATTCTGTTCTCACTGATTTTACTTTTTTTTTTTTAATTTTATAAATTACACGCAAGAGTACAATGTATGATGGAGTTAATCGCGGGATATTACTTTTTAGTCACTGGAGCAAGAGTACACGCGATTTTCGCGGATGAATAAATTAATGAAAGTGCTTAGGAGTTGAGATAACTTGAGATTTTTTTTATTTTACAACAAAATTAAATGAATTAATTGTTATCAATAATTTATAAGAATTTTATTTTCACTGATTTTCTAATTATTTATTAACAGATTAAAATTTTGAACTATTTAATAAAAATAATTAATTGTTACTCATCAATAAAAAAATTTTCAAAAAGTTCATACTAATTCAAAAAATATTAAAAGAATTCTTAAATAATACTAAATTAAATAAAAAAAAAAATGCTGATAGTGAGTACCAAGTGGGGAGTGTAAATAGATCCGTAGGGATTTAATGCGAGTACATTATACATGAGTTATTGTAACCGGTGGTCGGTTTATTTTTTAGATCGTATCAACTCTATTTTTTTTCAGTCCCATATGTGACAAGGGTCGTTATACTTTAATTTTACTTTGAAATAATTTACGTTGTAAATTTTAATAATCAATAAAATAAAAAATTTTAATTATAAAATTTAAAAATAAAAGTAGTTGACTCATTTGTTTAATTAACATAGAAATTAAAAACTGTTTTTTCTATACTCCATAGACTAATTTTTTGAGTTTATGACAGCCAGTAATTTACCACAATAAGACGTAAAACTCTCACGCATTAAAAAATGAATATTTAAGTTGCGACCAAACGCGTGATTGTCAAAAAAGTAATAGACTAAATAGTGATCGGTTGGGAATAAAATGTTTGTCATTGTCATATAAAAATGTTTTACCTTTATATACAGTAAGGTAGACAAATAAAATGTATGATGTACGTGAACGTAAACACGTGGTTGTCAAATAAAAAATCGTGGATACCCTGGTGTACATATAATACAAAATTCACGTGGTAATGATTTAAATTATAGGCTGTACGGACGCGTGACGTTAACCGCGCGACAACCGGCACTTTAAATAAAACCGATACATATTTTATTAGCTGCGGTAACGCACTCACGTGTATTATATGTACGCATATTGTATTATACAGTACTGAATGTGTATGTGTGCATGTATGTACGTTTTCTGAGGATTGGTACGTCATCAACGTTTTAAGGGAATTATTCTAAAAAGAATAAGGCTGTGTTGTTTGAGTAAGCCCTTTTCCTCGGTGACGGATGGATGGGCGTGCCCATATATCATCATCCTGTCACAATATTTGAGCTCCAATCCTCACCAGTTTTACCTTATTTATGAAAACACACTCAAAACCGATCCTTAATTTATATTAATGACCTTAAATCATTTGTCTTCATTTTCTGATGGGTTAGGGTTGCAAATTGTTTCATTGAAAAAATTCGTTTTATAGTATTTAATAATTATAAGTGATTAGTTTGGGAAATTAAAAATACTTATCACTTATCACAATTTAAATTATATAAATGATTTTAAAATTCAAATTAATGTTTGAAATATTTTTTATGAAATTTGTTCATTTTTTTTTAAGATAAAAATTATAAATAAAAATTTTAAAAATATTAAACTTAAAAATTTTTTTCATTTAGAATTTATAATGATTAAAATAATTTTTTTTTAATTTAACAAGAAAAAGATAATTTAAAATTTTTTAAAAATGTTTAATATTATTAATGACCTTAATTATTTGCAGTAAAACCATTAATCATTTTTTAATTACTAATTAAAAGACAAATTTTTCTAACTTTGACCCATTGATAATTACTAACCATAAATTAAAAAGAGAAACTTATCAGTCTCAATAAAACAAAATAACAGTCGTTAAATCAAAGTATTAAATTATCAAAACACTAATTTAAGAGATAAAATAAGAAAATACATGAGAATGAGTATAAAGGATGAATATAAATAAAATATAGTTGAGAAATGTGTAGTGATTTAAACGAGGAGTTGGCACTTGTGCCGAGTTATCTTAACGAAACATTTAAGTGATAATAAAACAGTAATGTTTAGTATGCGATCCGAGAGCTATTGGCTGTCACCAAACTAATTTATCTGTCTTATAATACTCATAAGATCAAATATTAAAGAGCATAACACTCGATTAATGAATATATTATGTTATATATTATAGATTATATGTTGTCTGTTAGTTTTGCTTGAAAGCACTTGACGAGATTGAATTGATTAATTAATCTCTGTTGCACATTACTGTTATTGTTATTGCTATTATGTGTGTGGATTATGTATGTATGTTGTATTAAGTAAATTGAGTACTCACCAGACGTCTCTTGGGTTTGATTAACGGTCGATTTTGTCCATTCATTTTGTAATAGAGCCCACAGGCATTGCAGAGATAATGTCCAGTGCCGTCTCTTCTCCATAGTGGCGTCGAAGTTGCTCCGCAGTTGACACACTCGCGACCCTCTACGAATATTTATATCCCAATCATATCAATCCTAATTATTCTCATAATTACTATTACAGTTATTATCATTATCATTATTAATAATAATAATAATTAAAATAACTATTAAAGTATCCAATTATTTTATTTTTAATTATAAATTAAATCAATCTCATTTATAAAATTTATAATGTCAATCTTTCAATAAAATGAGATTAATTTTAAAAGCCTCGGACAATGAAAAATATATATCATTGACTTGTTGTTAAATTTTATTAACCAATTAAGTAATAATATTTTTCTTTGTCTTACAAACATTAATAACTCGCATGCATTGCCGACATACCAATAAGCGATTACCAGAGCAAAGCAGAACCTTAGGATTTCAAAGATTATTAAGACATTATTAATTATTAAATTTTATTGCCATTGCAGTTCGTTAAATGGTGGGTTATTTTTTCAGCAATTTATTTATGGAAGGACAGGGTTAAAAAAATTCAGGATTAATGGGTTAACGATATATTGAAGATTGAGAAAAGGAAAAGCAGGTTGTGTCGGATTGTCGATTGTAAAAGCAAAGACGATTTTTTTTTATTTATCTTATTTGTTTTTAGCCAAACCATAAAGCTGCTTCTCTTCATCCTGAGGTGTGTCCAGCGGTTAATATTTGCAGCGTCATTAAATAAATTATAACACTAATGATAATGACTGGGAGAATTAGATAAATTATTTTAATATTTTTATTATTTTCACGGGAATTTGTTAAATAGTCACAATGGTAATTAATTTTTTTTTAATCGATAATTATTACAAATTTTTGAATATCAAATAAAAATTTTTTCTAATTTTAAACATAAAATTTTAGAAAAAAATTCTCGAATAAATTGTAAAAAAAAAGCTGATTTTTTATATTGTTAAGAAAATTAATTAAAAACGACTTAATGTTTTACTTTAAATTGAAAAATAAAACTCTTGGATTTGCAGTGTAACATAATCAGATTATTTTTAAACGAATTTTTCCTTGAATAGATTTTAATTTGCGTATCGAAACTATCGTGGGAAGCAATTAAACCGTTTTGCAAGCAATAACTTTTCTTGGGTTTGATTTCCTCGCGAATAACTGAAGACTTTTACGTATTTAAGTCTGACTATACAATTAGAAAACTCTCACGCATTTAATGAGTCAGTCCTTTTAGCAATTTTCAATTCAATTATTATCATTATTGTAACTCCTTGGACTTAATATTTTAAGACACATGTAAATATTAATCCAAATTGAAATCCACGCATTACTTTGAAGCATATTAGTCTTGGCGTGTGTGTTTTCTATTTCTATTTAGATTTTGTTCGCTACGGCAGACCGAGCGCGGCCGAGTGTCGCAAGAGTTTAATTAGAGAGCTATTGCAATCGTTGGTCTATTGTTAGCGAAATTAGGGATGTTTTTTAACACAACGGAACTGACCTACTCGTGTAATTGCACTGTGGCAATCTTTTATTTTATAATTTTGTAAAGTATATATTTTATATTTTATATTGTATCAGGATAAGACTCTATCAGTCTGTGAAACAAGTAGAAGAATAATCGATGGTGGATACAGATTTGCTTGTGAATTAGCCACACCACATCGAAAAATAAATGAAATAAAATAAACGTGCTCGTGTGTAATGCCTGTAGATGCTTCCTAGGCCTTTAGACAAATTTCATTTTTTTTATTTTGATTCATTTTTTATTTATCATTGTATTATCACGTATGATAATCGAGGGTGCGCGCGATTGTGGTGGGTGCCACTCAACAAAATAGGTCATAACGTGAGCCAAAAATACAATCGTGTTGTCCAATAACGTCCATTTTCTCAAAATAAAATAATTAATAAATAATAATTAAAAGTTTAATTGATAACATATTTCTGGACGTTGTTAAAAATATTATATTTATGCTAAAAATTTTTTTTTTAATTATTTGGTGAAAAGTTTATTGAATAATCATTACTGTAAATGTTTATTGATTTTTTTATTTAAAAAAGAAATTTTCAAAGATTTTTTGTTCAATAAAAAATTAATGATCAACAATTTATTATTTTTAATTAAATTGATATTGTTCTAGGGAAAAAAATTATTTTTTTTTACTCTGAATTAAAAGCTCAATAAACATGTACATTATTTTCAATTCTTCACTTAATAATATCTCAAAACTAATTTTCTCAGACATACATTTCACAACTTCCAGGAATACGTACCTCAAGAAAAATAAATAAAACAAATTTTTTTAATTAAATAAAACATATAAAAGGTAATCACTTGTAATTAAAAATAAATAAAAAGTGTCAACCTAGTAAAATAAATGAGAAGCAAACCAAGGATGTTAATTAAACCATAAACCAAGCTTAAATAATAATTCTCAATGGAAAAAATATATGTATGAAACAAAGAGACAAGCGTATAAAAAATTTATATTCAAATTAATATCTAATTTATGTACATTGTCGCTGAAAATGTATTTGAACAATTTTTTATGTTAGATTAACTTGTTTTTTAATGAAACAGAAAATTCAAAGCTATTAACTTGCCAGTTTTGTATTAAAAATAATTCAAATTAAATTTTCGAGTTTTTACTTAAAAAAGGTAATTTTTGTATTTTTTTTTTTTTCAGTGTGTTGAATACTTCGGATATTTTTAAAAACAAAAAAAAATCAATAAGTGGTTTTTCACTAATTTAGTTGCAGAGAGTGGATATAAATATTTTACACATTTGCCTATACATTTTTTCCATATAAGATAATAGTAATAATAATAATAAATAAAATAAAAATAAAAGAATAAAAAATAAATAAAAATAATAAAAGAAAATGCCGCTTACCGGCGGACGTTCTGGACTTGTTCCTCGGCTTTTGCTGCTGCTGTTGTTGGGAACCGGGTGAATTAGGGGTGTTTCCGTGCGAGGAGCCAAGAAGTTTTGCGTCAGGACTGACAACGCCGGGTACACCGCCGGTTGCGTGATGGGACCCAGAAAACAACGAGGATCCGTTGTGAGGATTGTGGGCGTGATGGGTAGGATACTGAAGGTGCGAATACATGTTGTAAGCGCTCGCCGTGGGATCATACTGGGAACTGGAGGTCGCGTGATGATGATGATGGTGATGGGAGGCGGGATGATAGGAGTCCCTGCACGATGGCGAAGTTGCGCCCCCAGGATTCTGGTAATCCTGCTGCTGTTGCTGCTGTTGGGCATTCGCTTGTTGATTTCCCGACTGCTGCTGCTGTTGCTGGCCATTTACGCCAGAGTTGCTGGAGCCTCCAGCTCCGGTACCGTTATTCGTCGATTGGTTATTATTACCTTCCCGCTGCTTCACCTGGCCGCCGGCTCCGTTGTTGTTTCCAGAATTGTGCTGGTGAGGAGGCGAGGGGGCACCGTGATGATGACCCAGCATCACCGAGGGCTTTACGTCGCATGACCCCCCAGATGTCGCTCCCAAAACGTCTTGGTGATGTATGAAAGCTCCCATTGCTCCCATTGCCGCTACGTGTGCTACCGCTACCTGATATTCGCTTCCGCCGCCCAAGCCCTGGTTGTTGCTGTTGTTGTTGCTCCCCGAATTGTTGTTGGTGGTGTTGGTGGTCGAACTCGTGCTGGTGGTTATGCTGTCTGGGGTCGCGTCTTTCGGGGGCGTCGGGGGAAATGAGAAGGCGTTGTGCCCTCCATTTATCCCGTGACTCGATAAGCTCACGGAGGTGGGAGGTAACGAGGAACCCAGAGGACTCTGAGGTTTGTCTTCTACAGCGCCACCCGTCGACGCGGTTGTGGCTGGAAATGACCAGGGTTTTGCTTCGGCGCTCAACAGCCAGGGGTGCCCGCTGTGGAAGTGTGGACGACAGACCTGGCTCACTGGTGCTCCTGATACTCCGGTTCCTGACATTCTACCTGTTGACAATAAACGTAATAATTATTTTAGGATTTTATGGAAATATCATTTGAGATTTTGAGAAAAATAATTTATTGTAACACGAAAAATTTTCTGGACCGTGAAATTTTTTAGAAAAACTTTTATTGTTTTGTAGTAAGGAAAAACTTTAATACTTTAGTTAAAATAATAATATGAATTTTAAGAAAATTGGTTTTGTAATTGAAAATTTTTTCTATTTGCACAAAAAAATACATTTAATTGGTCTAAAATAGTTTTCAAAAAAACCTAAAATATTTTGGAGTAAGGAAAAAATCTTGTAGCTCAAAAAAATTATACTACAATTCCAAGAATTTTTGTTTTTGTAAGTAAATTTTGATGAATCAAAAAAATTTGTTATGCAGTAAAAAATTTTTTTTTTCTCTCTATACGAAAACATCAGTTAAGATACTTTTTGTTTTCTAAAACAAGAGTCAAGAAAATTAGTTTTTCAACAAAGAATTTTTTATTCATTATAATGATATTGAGGTATACATTTAAATAAATACCAGCGAGAATGATTAGGAGCTTAATGTAATAAAAGTAAGGGCGTCATGTGACTGAAGTACGTGCTGCGTGTTTCGAATAATTGGCTTTTTGCAGGTGACTTTTGCCCTGGGGAAAGCTAATTGCGATGGGTTAATTAAGAGGACCCAAGAATAGGTGAATTCCTTATTCCTTGTTACGTCGGAAATTAAATACGCGCAACCTAAAGTACACTGGATATCACTATCAATCTCACCACATAGTATAACACACGTGTGTATATATGTATACGTAGTTAGTTACTAAGTTATTTATCTATGCGCTTTTACTTAACTATGGACCCGACATCAGTTTAAACTGTTCGTATGTGCATGGCGAGAACATACATAAGATTCTTCTTCCTCTCTCGGCTCTCCATTCTCCATATAAGTACCGCAAGTTACGCGGATAATTAACCGTTCGTTAGCGCACATGTGAACTTGATCACCCTCATGACATCTTATTTTAGTTTTTATATTTTTTTTATTCGCTGGATAGTGAGTGTACATTTTTTAAAAACAAAATTTCTCTCACATCATATATTATCATTATTATTATCAACATCTAGATCCTAGATACAAATCTAATTAAAAATTTTCCCGGTTAATTAAAACAAATAAGAGGTTGAAGACAAAAAAACAAAAAAGAGATTCCAGTTGGACATTTTTACAAGTAGGTGAAACGAAAAGAATTCTTTGAAAAGGATTATCGTGCCGGCAATGCGCAAGAAGGCGTCGCGACGCCAAGTCTATCCGATGATCGCGTGATACTATACTCAAGGCCCAAGAGTTTTTCTTCTCGTTCGTGTAACATTAGGGCTTTTGCTTTTCTTTTATTACAACTAGACTAAACTATTTTTTTTTTCTTTATTCTAGTCATATGTATACGTAGCTTACTTAGTCCACCCACTTGGTTTACTTTCTTTTTCCCAAGAGGCATTCGAATGGAAAGGATTCTTTCTCGTTTGGCGTCGACTCGGCACGCGGCTCTTATTACCTGGGCTTACCTGGCACGGAGGCTCTATTCGGAGCGTGCAGGATCGATATATCGACCGTTTCTTGCCGGGTCGAGCCTGCCACCTCAAAATAACCGATGCAACTCTCTCTTTCTCTCTTCTTCAGTATCCAACAGAACTATATCCAGGTTTTCTTGATAACGCGTAATATGTGGGTTGTATTTTCCAGCACACACTCTTCAAAGGACCTTTAGATTTATATTTATCATCTACTATTAAGTACACAGAAAAAAGGAAGTTCAAAATATCTGTCTCGGCCCAAGCAAAATTTTTTTTTCTTCGCTAAAGAAAATTTAATTTCACTTGAAATTATTTTTGTTTTTATAAATATTTTTTTGGGCTAAGATCATTTTTGGCTTTACTTAAAAATCGATTTTTTTGGTGTAGGGCTTAATATTTTGAGGGTACATAAAAAAAGATTTATTTGAACCAAAAAAATTTTTGGAAGACTTGAATTGTTTTGGAGTAAGCAGAAAATTTTTAGAGGTAAGAAAATTAAGTGAGTTTTTTAATCCATTTAATTTAACGAATTCATCATGAAATAAAAAAAAACTTTTTTTTATTTGCATTCAGTTTTTAAAAATATTTTCCATATGAAATTTTCTAAATTTTTTTTATAATAATTAATTCCTAAAAAAAAATCTTAAAAATTATCAATCACAAAATGAAAATCTTCTAGAATTTAATTTCTTCTCTCCCATATATATAACTGCATTAATTACCTCAACAATTTTCACACTTTCCTCGACTCTTTAGTGAGAGTAATAATTTTATTAAAACACTAAACAAAAAAATATCATCCCATATTTTTTGTAAGGTTTTATTATTTAATATAAATCATGTTGCCGGTTAAAGTTGCCAGATAAAAAACAACATTCTTTAAGAGTAACGAGTGTCAGATTATGGAGAGCAAAAAATGATACATGAATCGCCGCCGCTCGCGCTCTAAGTCGCGGTCGGTTTATTCAAAACTTTCCGACTTGGGCCTTTTTTTTGGCCCGTCAAAAACCTTTTTTTTTTTAACTATTGTATCGTTTTATATTATTATATTATATTATATTATATTTACTTAAAGGTTTTAAATCTTAACACTGGAAAGAATGTTTATATTGCTATTGTGCAACCTTAAATGGAAGGAAGCAAAAAGGTATCTCGTATGTATCCGGAATAGAAGTGAGTTAAGTTCTTTTTATCAGTAGCATAGTATAAGTAGCAAAAGCGATTGCCAGGATAGGATGGGAGCTGGAAGCTCTGCATCCACACGTGACTCGTCGACAAAGTAGCTACCAGGCAGGCGCATCGATAGCTGGATAGGATTATTGCATATCTAGTCTCAACTCTTGCAGTGACAAATGTCGCGGGATTCCTATCCACTGAGAATTTTATTCCAACAGATACAGAGTGGAGCACTGCTGAGAAATATAAGCTGCTGATGGTGATTTTACTTCTGGTTCTGATTCTGGTTCGATACTCTTCTGTATTCTATATTCTGTGCTACTGTTTATATTATGTTGCTCCAGTCCTATCCAGGATTGGAATACAGAGCGAGCTGGAGCAAGAGGTTGATAGTTTATATCAAAAGAGCAACCAAGAGGGAGCACGAGTTTTAAGAAAGAAAAAGAGATGAGACGAGAGCTGATCTCGTTTGCAGAACCACTGTAGTGTAAAAAGCAAAGTGGTTAGAGAGAGAATTCTCAAGGCACGCCATATTAGAAACAGCTTGGCATCCTATACGGCGCCGCTTGCCGCTTTTCCTTGATAGTTCTCCAGATCGCCCGGGAGTCCGATGCTTATTTTTATTTTTATTATTTTATTATATATTTCTTTTCTTAGTCTCTTATATTTGTTTATTTTTAAGTTTTTATTGTTGCGATATGTTACACATCTTTTACCAGTCTCGAGGGACAGGCCACCACATATTGGTCCATGAAATTCAGACCGCAAATTCGCTTTTAAATCAATCCAAAAAGAGTTTTAGTTTGGTCAATATTATAAATTTTAATAAATGATCGATTCTATTTTTTGAAATTCTGAATTATGGAAATTTTGCTCGGCAGTTTTGGTGACAAAAAGTTTGAGGCATTTAGTTAGATTTTACTTCGCAACGAAAAAAAATTTTTATTAAAGAGAGAGAGATTGTAAATAATTGGAAAAATTTGCTACTTGTTTTTTGTAATAAAAAAATTATCAATTTCATCGAAATTGATTTTATTTTATTGATGTGAAATAATTTGTAATTATTGTTTCAAAAGACATTACGATAAAAATTAGGAGCTCGTTAAATTAATTAAATACCCGCATGGAAATATTTAATAAAATTTTCTTAAATACTAATATGTGTTTTTAATACGAATATTAAGTCATTAAAACAAATAATTTCAAAAAAAAAATTAATATTTATCAATTAATTAAATTATAATATATTTTCACAATAAAATCTTTTAACAAATAAATAGTATAAAGATGTTTCACCTAACCTACTTGTTTATTTCCCCTTCCTCTTTATTAGCCAAATAAACGTTTTATTACATAGTAATAAAATTTTATTACTATTTAATAAAACGTTTATTTGGCTAATAAAGGGGAAGGGGAAATAAACAAGGATGTTAGGTTAGGATGTTTTGTTGAAACATCTTTATACTATTTATTTGTTAAAAGATTTTATTGTGAAAATATATTTGAATATGATATAATTAATTAATAAATATTAATTTTTTTTTGAAATTATTTGTTTTAATGACTTAATATTCGTATTAAAAACACATATTAGTATTTAAGAAAATTATTCATAGGGAATATAATTTTATTACTATTAACTAAATTTTCTTTTCAAGTCCAAATAAACTTTTTTATTACTATTAAATAAAATTTTCTCTCAGTGTGTTAACTTGATTGTCTAACGACCGTAAGTTGTATATAATAATCGATCAGATCTATTTCAATCATGATAAAAAATTAAGTGATCTAAATTTCAGAGGATAAGAATTAATTGTTACAACAAATGCGATGTAATACTTACTGAAAAGTCATGAAGATAATAAATCCATCGATTGGAATATCAATCAACAAAAACAACTACTCCTTCTTCCTTCTATTCGTGATGATTACGACGAAGACCGCGGAGAATTCCGCAAGTGATAATTAGTATTAAGGCTGTCTCGCTCCTAGATAATGCCGGAGTCGAACACATACATCCATACTCTTATCCTTAACTGAAACGCTCGCGGCAAATGTACAGCAGATCGTGCAGAGAAACGACTATATATACATATATATACACACGCGTCTTACTCGTAAGACCAAGACGGAATGTGTCGATGAATATTCATTAAAAATGTAGATGGTGGCCATTATATCACGAACGAGGAGATCAAGATGGCGGTGGATAGCGCATCCGGTTCCCTGCCAGACTCACATGGATTTTCATGCAAGCTTATTCTG